CCCACTGTCCTGCTGGTAATAGCTTATCTAAAGTGATCATCAGGTGGGCCATTTCCACCTGAAAATGGCCCATCTGATGATCACTTTAGATAAGCTATTACCAGCAGGACAGTGGGGTGGGAGGAGGTATTGTTTCATATTCTCTGTGTATATATAAAGTCTGCTGCAGTTTCCACGGTATGCATCTGATGAAGTGAGCTGTAGCTCACGAAAGCTCATGCTCAAATAAATTGGTTAGTCTCTAAGGTGCCACAAGTACTCCTTTTCTTTTTGCGAATACAGACTAACACGGCTGTTACTCTGAAACCAGTAAATTTACAGACCTGTGATTTTACTAAAGTTACTGTAACCGCTCTGTAATTTCTGATACAAAATGCTGTGACAAATCTACAACCTGACTCAGGGTGGTTCTACCCTATGGTGTTTCTGCAGCACCTAGCGCCTGCTCCCACAGGGACTATGCATGTCTTGGGTCTTGTTTTAAGCTTAAATTGTAGCCTGCCCAGGATACAGGCAACACCTCTCGCAGCAGGGCCATGGTTTTGTTTTCAAACTGATTTTCTCTTTATTTCAATCAGAGGGGTTTATTTATGTGGTATTGGTTCTTCACTTTCTCCTGTTTTATAGCATGAGGCCTGTTCCTCAGTATTTTTGCTGTTATAATTATATTGGTTTGAAACTAGTTTAGTTGAGGGGCTACAATCCCTTCATGCGGATGCAGTGAGACCAGTTTAAAACTGCTTAGAACAATGTAGCTTATTCTTGCGGGGGAGTGAGTCCTTTTCTAGGAATTCCTTTTGAAGAAATCATTTACTCTTGGCCTGAGGTTTCAGTCTTTGAGCAAAACTAAAATGAAACTGAAAGGCACGAAAGCCTTTTGAAAAATCTCTAGGGCGCCCCTTACCTTGGTATGACTTTCTGAGGTGTGGGAAGCCTAGAAGGTGTTGTGGTGTACGGCCGGACAGGCTTGTCTTTCTACCCAGGTGCTTGTTTCCTCCCCAGCAGCCAGCTCACACAGTCCCTCTATCTCCCCTCCTCCCCACCACCAGTCCATGTACCCATCTCCTCAGAGTGAGGGAAGGGGAGACAGGGCTCAGGAGAGCTTTCAGTGAATGCCTTAGATACAGCACCCAGCGTCTCTCAGAAACTTCCCCAGCACACAGACTGACTCTGTGTGGTACAAACCCACACAGTCTCTGGCTCTTTCACACTCGCCTCCCAACACAGAGTTGTAGTAGGTTTCAGAGTAACAGCTGTGTTAGTCTGTATTCGCAAAAAGAAAAGGAGTACTTGTGGCACCTTAGAGACTAACCAATTTATTTGAGCATGAGCTTTCTGCTACTTCTTGGTACTTCCTGTAATGCACATATAATCTCTGCAATTTTATGCTTCCTAAGTGTGTTACTTTAGGGTTTTGACTGGTCTGTGCATTTCATGATTTTTATTTCTCTTCTACTTAAAAATTTAATTTAATTTAATTTAATTAGCGAGTTCTGAAATACCTAATGTCTCCTGGCTGGAGTAATTATCCCTATGGTAACTTTAAAAAATATTATATCGAGGTTTTTTGTTTCTATTGGTGGCGCACAGACCTCGGTGCACATAACAAAATTTATTCTGCAGATGGACTGAAAAAAATGAGAGGGAACATTGCTCACAGCCCCAGTGCCCTTTCCATTAAACAGCTGGGGAAGCTGAGGCATGGTGGAGCTGTAGCGACTCTTGAAAAAAGTCGTACGAGAAACGGAAAGCAGGTCAAATTACAAAAATGAGTCTTAAAAAACAAAATAAGCACGTAGGGGGAAAATTAGAAAGGCAAAAAGCAAAACTAAACTAGCATTATAAAGGGAAAAAACAAAGCATTTTACAAATACACGGGAAAGCAGAGGAAAACAAGGACAGGCTAGGTCCACTACTGTGTTCACTTCTGGGCCCCAAACTTCAGGAAGTATGTGGACAAATTCGGGAGGGTCAGAGGAGAACAACAATACTGATTACATGTCTCGAAAACATGACTTCTGAAGTAAGTGAAAAAACTGGGTTTGTTTAGTCAGAAGAAGGGGGCGGGGGCAGGGGAGAACCCCTGATAACAGTCCTCATGGACATAAAAGGTTGTTACAAAGTGGAGGGTGTTAGGATATAGATATTCAGGCCTGTCTGTAAAGGCCTATACTCTAAGAATTTAGGTGTATTCTTATCACTTGGCTAGTGATAGAGGTATAAAAGAAAGAATCAAAACCACTGTCTGCCAGTGTAAGGGCCTTCTCTTACTGTGACAGTTTGTGGCCCTGTGCTTAGGCTCAGGCCTTTGGCTAAGCAGCAGAGGCAGCCATAAGCTGGGAAGCAAATGGTCACATCCTCACATTCCAAACTAGTCACATTGAAATAAGGTGCTATTGGGCTGTTAGGAATACAATCCTGTCCTGATAGTGCCTATCACCTCCAGAGAAAGGGAAGTGCCTAGAAAATGTAAAAGGAAACTTAGTTTGATGGCATCCTGTCTGGCAAGAACTCACTTATCAATAGCTGGGATGTGAAATCCTCACTTCTGTATTGTTTTGTCATTATAGTTCCCACTTTGCTGTTGTTTGTCTGTATAATCTCTGTCTGGTTCTGTGATTGTTCCTGTCTGCTGTATAATTAATTTTGCTGGGTGTAAACTAATTGAGGTGGTGGGATATAATTGGTTACATAATCATGTTACAATATGTTAGGATGGGTTAGTTAAATTTCAGGAAAATGATTGGTTAAGGTATAGCTAAGCAGAACTCAAGTTTTACTATATAATCTGTAGTCAATGAGGAAGTGACTGGGTGTGGGTGGGGGTGGGCATGTGGGTGTGTGAGATGGGAACAGGGAATGGGGGTAAGAAAATTGGAATCATGTTTTGCTAAAGGGGGAGATGGGAACAGGGAATGGGGGTAAGAAAATTGGAATCATGTTTTGCTAAAGGGGGAAATGGGAACAGGGAATGGGAGTAAGGAAGTTGGAATCATGTTTGGCTAAGGGCAGGAATGGGAACAGAGACACAGATGTAAGGCTCTGTGGTGTCAGAGCTGGGAAGGAGGATACTAAGGAAGGAAACTGGAATCATGCTTGCTGGAAGTTCACCCCAATAAACATCGAATTGTTTGCACCTTTGGACTTCGGGTATTGTTGCTCTCTGTTCATGCGAGAAGGACCAGGGAAGTAAGTGGGTGAAGGAATAAGCCCCCTAACAGAGGGTGATAAAGTGTTCTCCTTATTGACTGAGAATAGGTCAAGACTTTATGGGCTTCAATTGCAGCAAGAGAGATAGAGGTTAGATATTTGGAAAAACTTCCAACCTCTGAGGGTAGTTAAGCACTGGAACAAAATGATCTTGGCAGGTTGTGGAATCTCCACCATGGGAGGTTTCTAAGACCAGGTTAGACAGACACCTGTCAGGGATGGACTAGGTAATACTAAGAAATCATCTCTGCACTGAGACAGGACTAAGATTCATAGATATCAAGGCCAGACAGGCTGATTGTGCCCATCCAGCCTGGCTTCCTGCCTATCCCAGCCAGAGACGCTCCCCCAGTCATTCCTGACTCTGGCCCAGTAACTGCTGGTGGAACAAGAGTGAAGCTTTGAGAGAGAGCCACCCCATCTCCACGGACAGACTCCCAGAGGGAGAATCCATCGTGTCCTAAGGGGAGCTCTCCCAATGGTTTATTCCCCCTCCAAGATAAACACTGGCCCCTAATTCCCAGCTTCAATTTGTCTCTCTTCAGCTCCCAGCCTGTGAATCTCGCTCTGCCTTTGCCTTCTATATCAAGGAGTTCTCTACTAGCAGGTGTGTAAATCAGAAAGGACTGGATTATTAGGACTCACCTGAGGAGGGGCTCTCAGGCCCAGAGTGTACCCTGGAGCCCTTGGCATCCCGGATCCAGAGCTCTGCCTCCCCTAGCTCGATCCGGTGGATTAAGTCCGGTTTGGAACCTGAAGAGCCTGTTTGGGGGAAAGTTTTATTAAAATATTTTTGGCGGCAGAGACTCGTTTATATGTTTGTGCAGCACCTGGCACAACAGGACATCAATCTCACAGGCTGCTTCAGAGGAAGGCGCAAGAGATCCAAAGCAGGAGAAGAAAGAAATAAACCTTCCTTAGCAATAAACCTTCTTCCCGTCTCCCACCAGGCAAGTTCAGTTCGTACCCTGAATCGGCAACATCTACAACCCTCTCAGTTTGCAGTGGGGCCTAGTTTAAAGCCTTGCTGGGGTAACTTTAGATGTTCCCTTGAAATATCCTATTCTGCTAACACCTTGGCCTCTATGCTATCTTGTGGCACTACGTTCCATAGGACAAGCGTGTGACATGGATTTCTTTTAACCCACAAAAAGACCAGTGAACACCCATTAGTTTCAGATTAAGAGACAGGGCGAATAGAAAATCTGCAACCACCTTCTTTCTGGTCATTATTTCACTTACCCAACTGTCTCCTGAAACATGGATCATGGGGAAGACTTTGGAAGAAGGGAACTTTGCTCCTTGCCAACTTATAGCTGTTGAAATGTTTCAGGCATGTCATTAAGGCAAATCGGCCACAATGTGTCATGGCAGGTGTCACCCGGTGTCACCGTTACACAGACATTCCAGTTCTTTTGCATTGTTCAGTTGTTCAGTTGTTAAATTTACGATGTTCATTCTTTTGGGGGAGGTGGGGAGCTGTTGCAGCAGCAGTGTTTTCCCCCTGCCTTATTTGTCTGACTAGAATCAGCTCCTGACGCAGAGTTGCTGCCCTCAACCTCTGGCTGGGATTCCGGGAAGAGATGGTTGCTCATGGGCTCTTTGCTACCATCAGGGATGTGCCACGACTGAGGCAGGTAATTCAAATAAACCAGTTACACCAAGATTAGCCCCAGGCTCTGTAGCCCTGAGTTCTCCTCCAACAGCGAGCTGACCTGAAAGGGGCTGGCATTTGCCACCACTCAATGACAGGGTGCCACATGGGGAACCCAAATGAAATTGGTCCTTACCCAAGGAAACGAGGGCCCGGTAATTCCTCAGCATCTGGTCCCGGTACAGCTGCTTCTCTGGCCGGGATAAGAGCCCCCACTCCTCCCGGCTGAAATACAGAGCCACGTCCTCAAACGCCACCCGCAGCTGCTGGCACAAGCGTTACACACTCAGCACCCTCCGCGCCAGCCCCAGCCCGGGCTCTCAGCAGGGGACGCGGGTTCTAGGGCAGCGGCTCCCGGGGAACCCCCAGCCCAGCAGCTGTGACCCAGGGAGACCCCCCCGCACAGCCCCCCGGGGACTCGGGCCCTGCTGGCCGGCGACAGGAGTCGCCCTCGGCTCCCCACGGGGCTCTGGGGCGGGGCGCTGGGAAGGGCCCGAATCCCAGGGCAGGGACCAGGCTCCTCCCCCGGCCGGAGTCCCCGCCTCCGCCCCAGGCCTGGGCTCGGCCCCGCTCCCGCCCCCGGCTCGGCCGCCTCGGGGCTCCTCGGCCCGGCTCCGCGTGTCCGCCCGGCCCGGGGCCCCCAGCGCCGCTCCCCGGCCCCAGCGCTCCGAGTGCGGCAGCCCCCAGCCCCGGGGTCACTAGCGCGGGAAGGACCCGGTCCCGGCCCCCCTCGGCCCCAGCCAGTGCCCGGCCGGGGAGTCCCCGCCCCGCGTCCTACCTGCGCCGGCCCCGCTGCAGCCATCGCCGGGCTCGGCTCCGGCCCCGGCCGCTTCCTCCGCCCGGGCAGCGACCTCCCGCCCCGCGGCTGGTGCCTCCCTCCGCGGGGCCGCCTCCCTGCGCACGGGCTGGGCTGGGACCCGCTACGCTCCCCACCCGCCCCCGACTCAAGGGGCCTGCGCCTGCGCCGCCATCTTCAGCTGCCGGGGAAAGCCCCATCGCAGAGACCTTCCGGCCCCGCCCCGCCCGGACGCCTGGGTCCCGAGTCCCGCCGCTGGGGGCGCCCGCGGCACCTGTTCCCCGGGCGGCAGGAGCCCGGAACAGGGCAGCCCGTCTGTGCGCGGGGCCCCGCTGTGCCGTGGGGAGCTGGGAGCAGGGCAGGTGGGTGGTGGTTGTTGCTAGGCTGTGTGAGGTTGGTGTGTGTATTTGAGGAGATCCCCCCCAGGCTGGGTCTGGGGTGTGGGTCTGAGTGGTACAGGAAGGCTGTGTGATGTGAGTGGTTTACAGATCACAACGTGACTGTGGAGTGTGTGTGTCACAGTAAGACAAGGCTCTGGCTGTGTGATGTTGGTGTGTGTGTTACTTCCAGGGGATCACAGCCTGGGGTGTGTTTCAAGCGCTCACACCCATGTCCCTTCCCAGGGCCCCGGGGAGGGCAGGTGCCCCATAAGATGGCGTGTTCTGGCCTCGGTGCTGGCACTGAAGCAGCTGCCCCTGCCCCCCGTTCATTGGGCCGGGCCCTGCACACCTCAGGTGCCCCCCACACCCCCGGCTGGTCAGAACAAATGGTCCAAGGTGAAGCACATCAAGGGCCTGCGGGACACCGAGCGCAGCCGGCTCTTCCAGAAGCTCGCCATGCTGCTGCGCTTTGTCCGCAAAGGTATCGTGGGGGGGGAGGAAGGGAAGGATCTTGTGTGTGACCCAGCCCCAGCCAGAGGGAGTGCTACGGAGCCCTGCCAGCTTCCCCGTGCCCCACAGGCCCCGCTGCAGCCAGAGGGGGCATTACAGAGACTTCCCAGCCTCCCAGTACTTGACAGGTCCCAGCCAGAGGCTGTGGCTACAGAGCCCTGCCAGCCCAGCCTTGACCACTAGCACTGACCCTGTTGCCCCTAATAACCACAGCACCCCCTAACCTCTGTTAACCCAAGGCCAGCATCCTTCTTGGCTGCTGGAGCAGAGGATGCTGGTCTGAGGGGTAGAGTCTCCCCTTCTCATCCTTTCTCCACTGGACCTTTCTTCTGTTTCACAGCACCTCCCCTACGGTGGCTGAGTCTCTCCCCATCTCTCACAGATGTTTCGCATAAGAGGGGGCAACCCAGTCTCTGTGGTTCAGGCGGCCTAAGATAACAGCTAATGGTGGCTGAAGAGGGGAAGGGCCCTGGAACAGGTAATTTGGGGCAGGGAGGGTCACCAGGAGCCCCAGGACTCCTGGGTCTCATCGCCGCCTCTGCAATTGGATAGTGGGTTACAGCAGGGGGGGCACCTTGTTTCTATTCCTGGCTCTGGGAGGGTAGTGGATCGTGGTGGGTTAAAGCAGCGGGGGCTGGGAGTCAGGACTGCTCTCAAGTGGAGTCCCAGCTGTGCCTCCCTTGTGACGCTCCATCTCTGTCCTTTGCAGCAGGGGGACCCAACCCTGATTTCAACACCAACCTGGCCAACCTCACTGAGCAGTGCCGGAGCATGGTCTTGACCAAAGCATCCACTGAGGTGGCCATCAAGGGAAGGGTACGTCGCTGCGTCCTGCCAGCTGGGCTCATGGGCTGCAGCCTTTTTGAATTCTCTGGGTCAGACCAGACCATGCCGAGGTGTTACAGGGAAAAATGAAAACCATTGTAAACCTATATGTTCCCCCTTCACAGGACGCAGGATCTTGTACCTGGTATCTGCGTCTATCGCTGTGGAAGCAGCTGGTGATGTTGGTCCCATCCTCCTTCCAGTGTAGTGCAAAGAAAGAGGACAGAGACAGATAGGTGTTCCAAAACAATGTAATAACATTTAACATTCCTGTGATGGGAAGAACATGTCAACAGCCCAACACTATAGCATTTTATTTCAGAAAGGGGAACTATACAAAAATGAGGGGGTTAGTTAAACAGAAATTAAAAGGTACAGTGAATAGAGTGAAATTCCTGCAAGCTGCATGGACACTTTTCAAACACACCATAATAGAGGCCCAACTTATATGTATACCCCAAATTAAAAAACACAGTAAAAGAACTAAAAAAGAGCCTTAAGAAGCAGTGAGAGATAAAAAGGCATCTTTTAAAAAGCGGAAGTCAAATCCTTGTGTGGTAAATAGAAGGGAGCATAAACACTGCCAAATTAAGTGTAAAAATGTAATAAGAAAAGCCAAAAAGGAGTTTGAAGAAAAGCTAGCCAAAAACTCAATAGGTAATAACAAAATGTTTTTTAAGTCCATCAGAAGCAGGAAGCCTGCTAAACAACCAGTGGGGCCCCTTGGACGATCGAGATACAAAAGGAGCATTTAAAGACGCTAAAGTCATTGAGGAGAAACTAAATGAATTCTTTGCTTCAGTCTTCATGGCTGAGGACGTTAGAGAGATTCCCAAACCTGAGCTATCTTTTGTAGGTGACAAATCTGAGGAATTGTCACAGATTGAAGTGTCACTAGAGGAGGTTTTGGAATTAATTGATAAACTGAACAGTAACAAGTCACCGGGACCAACTGGCATTCACCCAAGAGTTCTGAAAGAACTCAAATGTGAAATTGCAGAACTATTAACTATGGTTTGTAACCTGTCCTTTAAATGAGCTTCTGTACCCAATGACTGGAAGATAGCTAATGTAACACCAATATTTAAAAAGGGCTCTAGAGGTGATCCCGGCAATTACAGACCGGTAAGTCTAACGTCAGTACTGGGCACATTAGTTGAAACAATAATAAAAAGAAAATTGTCAGACACATAGAAGAACATAAATTGTTGGGCAAAAGTCAACATGGTTTCTGTAAAGGGAAATCAGGTCTTACTAATCTATTAGAGTTCTTGGAAGGGGTCAACAAACATGTGGACAAGGGCGATCCAGTGGACATAGTGACTTTAGATTTCCAGAAAGCCTTTGACAAGTCCCTCACCAAAGGCTCTTATGTAAATTAAGTTGCCATGGGATAAGAGGTGAAGATCCTTTCATAGATTGAGAACTGGTTAAAAGACAGGGAACAAAGGATAGGAATTAATGGTAAATTTTCAGAATGGAGAGCGGTAACTAGTGGTGTTCCCCAAGGATCAGTCCTAGGACCAATCCTATTCAACTTATTCATAAATGATCTGGAGAAAGGGGTAAACAGTGAGGGGGCAAAGTTTACAGATGATACTAAGCCGCCCAAAATAGTTAAGACTAAATCAGACTGTGAAGAACTTCAAAAAGATCTCACAAAACTAAGTGATTGGGCAACAAAATGGCAAATGGAATTTCATGTAGATAAATGTAAAGTAACGCACACTGGAATAAATAACCCCAACTATACATACGATACGATGGGGGCTAATTTCATTAAACTAAGCAGGAAAAAGATCTTGGAGTCATCTTGGATAGTTCTCTGAAGACGTCCACGTAGTGTGTAGTGACAGTCAAAAAAGCACACAGAATGTTAGGAATCATTACAAAAGGGATAGAGAATAAGACGGAGAATATCTTATTGCCCTTATATAAATCCATGGTACGCCCACATCTTCAATACTGCGTACAGATGTGGTCTCCTCATCTCAAAAAAGATACACTGGCATTAAAAAAGTTCAGAGAAGGTCAACTAAGATGAGACTAAGGGGGTATATGCACGAGGTATATAAAATTATGAATGGTGTAGAGAAAGTGAGTAAGAAAAAGTTATTTACTTCTTCCCATAATATAAAAACTACGGGCAACCAAGTGAAATTAATGGGCAGCAAGTTTAAAACAAATAAAAATAAGTTTTTCACACAGCACGCAGTCAACCTGTGGAACTCCTTGCCTGAGGAGATTATGAAGGCTAGGACTATAACAGGATTTAAAAGAGAACTGGATACATTCATGGAAATTAAGTCCATTAATGGCTATTAGCCAGGATGGATAAGGAATGGTCTCCCTAGCCTCTGTTTGTCAGAGGGTGGAGATGGATGGCCGGAGAGAGATCACTTGATCACCTGTTAGGTTCACTCCCTCTGGGGCACCTGGCATTGGCCACTGTCGGTAGACGGGATACTGGGCTGGCTGGACCTTTGGTCTGACCCAGTATGGCCATACTTATGTTAACAAAAGGTAAGTGTATGAAGGTTGGTTTACAATAACTGGGAAAAAGGGGAAAAGGAAACACAACTGTCATAAAACCTAAGCAAACTGGGATCACAATACAAGGAGCTTGAAGCAAACTAAAATGATAAAATCCCCTAAAGTCCTGCTGCTGTCAGATGCTTTCTCTGGACAGGCTGGGTGTTGGAGTGCGTCGGACCCAGGACCTACGGCCCCCAGACCTGGTGATGGCCCGAAGAGAGGAACGCTGGATCGTGCTGTAGCTGGACTTGGAGCCAATGGCAGGGGTACGGCCAGGAACCCTGGATGCAGGAGGTACGTGGATGGGATGGATGAGGATGAGTTGTCTCTCAGGATTCGCTGATTCGTGATCTGAGGACTGTGCGAACGCCACTGCGCTCGGCTGCCTCTGTGACGGAGAGCATTGTGGTGACGTCACGCAGTTCCTTTTAATGGTTCTGTGACAGGAAAACCTGAGGTAGACTGTCAGTTACAGAACCAGTTCATTGTGGCCTGTTAGCTGCCCTTTCCCACCAAAGTTCAAAAAGGTGCAAAACCACCACCACCCAACCCAGCTGAAACAAGATGGAGTCATTTGTGGCAAAGAGACACCACATTAAGTGTCCGACTCCATATTGGATAATCACCATTTTAGTGATTATGAGGGTATAACATCATAAAACCTCATTAAAAACGCTATAAAATCACAAGATACAAATATATTAAAACAGGGCGTTTGGAGCCTTGAATGAAGGAGCGAGGCTGGGCTTGTAATTATGGTGCTGGCCTGGACTACAGGATTCGTGGTTTCTATTCCTAGTTCTGG